TTGTTGCCGAGCGTCTGGAGCATATGGTGGGATTTGCAGTCAACTTTCTCTCGGGTGCTCCAGCCAGATGGAGGTGACTGTTCTTGGCTCCGGCTGACACGGGTTTGTTTCCTGAAGAGCTTGTGTTTAACATATTCCTTAAAACCAGGCTTCTGCAGTTGGGAGCCCCAGCTGCAGGCGAGGCAGAGCTCCTGCCCACGGCTGCCTTCCACCGTCTGCGGGGGAACTTGGCCTGCCTCGCCTCGCCTCGCCTTCTCTTGCCCTGCCTTGCATCCCGTTCCCTTGCCTTGCCTTGTCTTGCCCTGCCTTGCCTTGTCTTGCCTTGCCTTGCCTTGCTTTGCCTTCCCTTCTTTCCCTCTCTCGGGAAGGTGCGGTTGAGTCTTCACCCGGCACCACGTGGTGCCATGGTCGAGGTGGCCATGGTCCTCCTCTCCGAGGGCACCCGGAGCATCTCTCCTAAAGGCTCCTTCAGCTTCATTTTTGTTGACGACTTGCAAAACTTTTCTCTCCTTTGATAGAAATAAAGCTCCTGTCTGATGAACCCAGGCACATCTTTAATTAATCGCCATCTAATTTTTTTTTTTTGGTATTTTCTAAGGTCAAAACCGGTAGGCAGGGACAGGTATTTGAAAACACAAGGTGCCTTCTGATTGCTAACTCTAAACTATTGGTATCTCGTGGCAGCGATGCTTTGCCTGCTCGTACCATCCTGCGTTGTTCTGCCACCCCCAGAGGTGCTGGAAAATGTTCTTAAATAGAAAAACTCCCCCATTAGCTGAAAGTATGTAGCCCATAAAACATGATCCATTTGCGGTGAATTACGCTGGAAACATAAATTGACACACGCGGAGCTATGATCGCTCGTGCCATTTTCCATCTTTAATATTTCACAAGAAGTTTGAGGAGTCGAGCTCCTGAAAGACGGAGTGGAAATAACCCGATCGCCTGGAAGCTCCCGGTAGGAAGCAGCAGCAGCAAACTTCGGCCGTTGGACGGGCCAGGCTGGGCTTCTCACGTCCCCATCGTGGAGAGGGGACAGAAAAATGAAGCAGAGAGGAGGCTGGGGCACTGAGAGCTGTCGGAAACGGTTTCCTCTGATGCCGTTTTTGCTGTGTGGGGTTGGTTGCCGGGGTTTTTATGAGGCAGCTACAGGAAGGTGAAGAATAAGCCCCCATGTAAGGCTTATTTTGGGGGGAAAAAAAAAGAAAAAAGTTCAAATTTGAGAGATGATGGGGTTTCTGTGGTTGGGGAGAAGGTTGAAGAGCAGGTCCTGCTGGCCCGGCACGGCGTGTCGGATGGAGCTCTGCCGAGGGGATGCGACTGCGGGGCGGTTGGCAGGCGGAGGGAGCAGGGCTGCGTGCGTTCGGCCTCCGCTTGTAACAGCGCTGGTTAATAACTGCTAAATACGCGTTTTTCAAGAAAAAAAAATAGGGTGGTTCTGTTGGTTGGAGCCCACATGTCAGCTCTGCAAAAC